GTTGCATTCACGAAAAAAATGAAATTACAAAAAAATATACATTATCATACCATTGAACTTTTACATAAATAGCTTTTTCCTATCTCCTGCCAAATTCAAGATATAACCTGTCCCAGTTGCATGACGTATCCTGTATACTTTTATTAATTAAAAAACATTTATTTAAAGAAGATAACTTTTTCTAAAAATAATTCTCAGATTGCACGTTCCTTCGGTTCTTCACAGTAGGCATATATTTTTCAGCAGCGAGGGGTGCTACGGTGTGTTATATAAAATCCACGCGTGTGGTCAGTCAGAATTTACTGGAGCGGGACAATTCTATCATTTAGGTTGAACGAAGGATAGCATGATCACCGTACATCTCACTCTAAACACGCGCCAATGAAAACAAAATAGATCTTAATTTACAGGTAAGGGTTGTGGCTAGACCGCTCAACTCATGATTTCAATCACAGCACTCTTTTAGTGGCCTAAAAATGCTTCGATTCCGCGAATGCATTTTGTCGATTTTTTACCTCTTCTTTGGACGCTTATATTACTAAACATCAACATAATCCCACTGAAACATGAGTTGAGCGGTGTGCATTGGACCTTCCTCTTTCGAATAAGCCCTCACCCAGCCCTAAATGTTGTCATACAAGGACGAATAACGGAAGCGCGTAAACCCACGTTTATGCCCATTTTTGCTGGTGATGTCAACGCGCTACTATTACCCGTGTCTACCCCCTTAACCGCTGAGACATTGACACTGTTGGAAATACTTTCGATTTTTTGATATATACCGCACATAAAGTAGTTTCAATAATTCTGGTTTATTCAGTTTTTTAAATTCTTATTGTGTTTCACTGTACGTAAAAGCATTGAACATTGTATAACACACTTACTTGATAAAGAACAGACGAAAATTCACCGTACAAGTAACTCTGACACGCAAAAATAGCGAAAAACTCGGTTTTTAATTATTTTGTAACTATGGCGCACCTGACCAAAAATTCTCAAAAAAATTGAGAACAATAGTATCGATAATATACACTTATAAAAAAAATATGAATCCAGATCCGCGACTCCTTCCATATAAAATCGCCATTTTTCCGAATTTTTTGGGGTTTTCGATTTTTCACAACTCGGGTTTTCAATCTAAAAATCTGCAAAGCTACTATAATATGTGCCACATAAAAAGAAATATCTCTGATTTTTTTCAGAATTTTTCATGCACAAATATAGGAGAAATTGACGAAAATGTGTTTTACATTTTTGCCCATTACTACCCTCCCACATGAGATACAGGGTTGAAACTTGGCACAAACTGTTGTTTTTTTGATAAGCTATCGAATGAGCAATTGCAAGTCGAATTTAGTTTGGGGGCACTTTTGACCATCTTATCCGACTATACCCTTTGTTGTATGTACGTTATTCCAAACCTGTGAATACATTATTGACTTTATATAGCATTAAACAACTATTTATAGTAATTAACTTTATACTAGGTCGCCATCCGCTTCGTGGCTGACGTACTGGAGCGAAGCGATTGATTTACAGTAAATGTAACTTTAACAGAGTTCGGATACAATATAGCAACTAAAATCTAGGCGCACGGTAGTGCGCCAGGCCAAGTTCCTGCCTACGCACACAGTGTGTATATTACACGAAGGTTTAGAGCCGATTTTCACCCTCTCATAACTTTTGTCCACTTCAAGATAAACCCATGAAATTTAAAATACATATTACGAGAGTGGAGATAAGCAAAACCTAAGAGTTTCAAAGTTCTACGTTTAGCCGTTTCCAAGATATAGGCGGTGGAAAATTGGAGTTTATATGACTCATTGACTCACTGACTCATCAAAATTATAAAGCACTTCCCGTGTAGGTAGAAACTTGAAATTTGGCATGGTGGTAGATATTGATGTGTAAATAAAGGGAAAAATCGAAAAATCCCAAAAAGTTTGAAAGTACCCCCGCCCACAGGGGTTTTAATTGTTAGCGACTAGCGTATACTAATATACTATAATAAACCACTTCATGGGTAGGTTAAATGTTGAAATTTGGTGAGAAGAAGGTTCTTTTAGCACAAGTACAGAAAATGATCAAAAATGCCTAAAAAGTGTAATAGTGCCCCACCCATAGAGGTTTTCTTTATGAAAGTAGAGGGTAGAGTTTTTATATTATAATTCTATAAACCAGTTCCCGTGTAAGAAGAATTATTAAAACTGTTTTGGTAGGAAGAAGGAAGCTTTATGGAAAACTTTCTCAAGAAAAACAATCTACATTATTTTAAACACTTAGAAAAAAGTAATGATATCACCCCCAAAAAAACGTAAATGTGAAACAAAGGCCAAGTTCCCCCCCCCCATCCCCCTCTCAAAAAAATCCTAACGCAAAGGCCAATAAAAGAAATGAAATCAATTATCTATGTCCAAGTTCTTTCATTCAGTCTTCAGATAAAGACTAAGTGTAGGTATACGTTTCAAACTAAAAACATCGGCCAATAAAAGAGGTGATATAAAAACAACATGTCCAAGTTCATTGCTAAGGAGTCCTGAGTGAAGACACTACTTTTCCTAGTATACCTCATTATTGATCTACCTACATATTAAAAATAAAAATATACTTGAACTAAATATTAACAATAATACCCAGCTCAGAAAATCACACATCCATCAACCACGTCTCATTCTAAACTTGGCAACTTCTTCTTTCATCTTGTCATATAATAAAATTAATTTTATCTTTCAAAACGAGTGTCTTCCGAGCCGTCGTGCTGTTTGCAATAAGCATATGAACAGTAATAGCTGCTTCTAAACCGAGTGAAAACGATTTAAACGTTGTCAACTGAAATCCGTGTAACGGCTCGGCAAAAGCCAAGTTTTGCTACTAGCACTTTTTAAGATGCAAGGCGATGAATAGTATTCATTTAGTAAATTGAATAAACAACCACATAAATCCACTTGCTAAGAACTAGCATTCAAATCTCCCCAGAAGATTCAAAAGAAAACACTCTTTTGATGTGCTCATAACAAACCACTCATAAACACATACAATACTAACAGATTTTTTTAATTGTGTACTTAATTAGGAACATTGAATAAAGGAGTTAATAAGAAAAGATGGTAATTATGCACAAAAAGACCCCAGTCGCCGATAACCTTGACCTTGACATATGTTGTCAAGGTCATGACCCTGAGTAACGTTGGCCTTGAAAAAACCGACGATTGCGATCCGTTCAAAAGTTACAAAGCATTAAAGTTTTCGCTTTTTTTTGGTGTTTATCTGCACGCAGCGCAGTGTCGTTGATTGGACCAACTTCTGTCGGGAAGTAAGTAGAATAGAAAGTTATTATATTTTAAAATGCTTAAAATATTTTGTTATTCTTGGGAAAAATCGTAAAGTTGCGGCTTTATAATTATATAATTATCAATTATATAAACAGATTACGGCGGCCGAAACCTAAGGAGTATAACGGGTGAACTAAAAAATCGAACTTAACTGATTTCAATGATTTTGAATTTTGACTTGCGTGGCCGGCCACCTGACGGCGCGGTGGCCGGAATATTATTCTGGCCTAACCTAACCTAATTCACTGATTAACAAGTTCACTAATTTAATTTTGTATTATATTAGATTAGGTTAGGCCGTAAGGCGGTCGGCCACATATGCCAAAATTCAAAAAATGACTGTCGCTTGTCATCTATTACTTTTATAAACAACAACACTTGTATGTAACTCTAACGTGTATGTTAGAATTTACCAAAAGGCACCCGCGCGTTTCTCACCAGCCATCGATGGACATCTGGATTGCTCTTTTTCACAATGGTTTCTTCGACCAGTATCGGTACTATGGCCAAGCGGCGGTTATACAGTGTGTCCCACATTAAGGGTTATAATTCCGTTATTCCGTAACTATTAATGATACAAAAAATTGTTGATATGGGAATTGCACGGCAAAAGGGGACCTATGTTTTAGACGAAGTGAAGAATCTTTTACATTATTAGTTTAAGAGATATGGTGCTCAAGTTTTGTTTTTTAAATGGGACCATATATTTTTTTTCGGATCATGTAATAGTGCTTCTCAAGACGAATTCATTAAGCTTTAATGTATACACTCGATTTTAATTAGTTTTCAAGATATAACGTTTACAAATTTCCTGATTTTCAGTAGAAAGATCTCGGTTTGAGTGGCAAGTCGTAAAAGCGGCTCTACTGTTGCGGTAAGTGCCATAGCGGGGGTCTATGCTAGGAATGGCAGACCCAAAGAATAACCGCTGTGACATTTACCGCAACAATAGGGCCGCTTTTACGACTTGCTACTCGAATCGAGACGTATCTACTGAAAATCGGGAAATTTGTAAACGTTATATCTTGAAAACTAATTAAAATCGAGTGTATACATTAAAGCTTAATGAATTCGTCTTGTAAAGCACTATCACATGATCTCAAAATAAATATATGGTTGCATTTAAAAAACAAAACTTGACCATCATATCTCTTAAACTAATAATGTAAAAGATTTTTCACTTCGACCAAAACATAGGCTCTCTTTTGCCGTGCAATTCCCATATCAACAATTTTTTGTATCATTAATAGTTACGGAATAACGGAATTATAACACTTAAGGTGGGACACTATATGTATAGGAAAAGGTTGCTTAAACGTGAAAACGCGAAAAAAAGCGGAAACTTTAATGCTTCGTAACTTTTGAACGGATCGCGACCGTCACTTTTTTCGGAGCCAACGTTACTCAGGACATTACGTAGGGAGCCAACGTTGACAACATATGTCAAGGTCAAGGTCATCGGCGACTGGAGTCTTTTTGGGCATAATTTCCGAAAAAATCTTTCAAAACGCTTCTATCGTTTGTAATACTTTATATCTGCTATATTATTTTAGTTCTGTAATATTTACATGTGCTGTTTTCTATAGTATCAATTACAAATAAATTTTATTGTCTGACAAAAGAGATCAGTTATATGTATTACAAAGGTTATATTATTGTTGTGATTAGGTCTATAACTGGGATCAAACAAAGACGTCTCTAATTAAAAGTTCCTTCTTTTGGGGTTATACGGTAATACAAATACCGAGTGGATATATAGCATCAGTTTGGAGTGGTCAGAAACTGCTTAGCATTGGAATCCTAGTTTGTGGCATTTTAAACGGTTTAATACCTACTGCTGCTGCTTATGGGGATTACGTTGCAGTCTGCGCTTGTAGAGTAGGTATGGGTCTTTGTCAAGGTTGCCTTTTACCTTGCACTCATACCCTCCTTTCAAAGTGGGCACCGCCATCTGAACGATCAAGACTTGGTAAGAATTTATTCGTTTATATGAATATATTTATAAATTTACAATTATGCCCGAAATATAAAATAATAATCATTCACATTTTTGTAAAGAAGACTTTGATTTGAGATTACAATCACAACTCTTTTAATTCAACATAAACCGCCGACACTGAGGTTTCTCATTAGGATTTCTTTATAGCGTAGGCTAGATCTCTTCGCTTTATCAACGATGTCAGGTGTTTAATATTGTTTAATTCTAACCTAATTCTAATATTGTTTAAGTTTTAATCATTTATAATTTTACGTAATAAGAACATTATCGTGTGGTTGCTTTTAGCTGCATTACATGTAGCATTTCGTAAGATACATACTTATTAAAAAATAATTTTAGAATCTTACAATTAGAATCATAGAACCTTAAACTTTTAGAATTTGAGAATTTGAAAGTATTTCGGTTATGGTATTGTTAATGGCGTAACCAGTACTGTTATTAACAATGGGAGCCTAAGGAAATAGACGCGGAGACGAATCCACGTATGGCTAACGTAGGGAGCTCCAGGAGGTTGGTTATCCTGGACGAAACTATGTATGGCTAATGTAGGAGCCACAGGAACGGTGAAGACGTGAGGACGAACCTATGTATAGCTAACGTAGGGAGCCGCAGAAAATGTTAGTATTAAATCTCGTAACTTGATTAGTGTACCTCGAGCGGTAAAAGTACACCTTTATAATGGCATAATGGGTTTTCTGGACTAGTCAATATAATTGAACAGTAATAAATAAGTTAAATAATGTGAATTTATTCTCTTTGTCGGGACCTTACAATTGTTGAGTGCAACTATCACAGTGTTCTACGAGTTAAATTCTAGTTTACAAGTTAAATGAATTGAATATAAGAGTTTTAGTTTCGATTCCGCGAAGCAAGAATTTAATCCTTCTCGGTTTTGACGAACGCGAGCAAACGGGAGCGGGCTACAACGATCCGAATAATGCTTAACAGTAGACAACGTACTGTATAGTTACTGAGTGCTTGAAGAGGACTTGAATACCCGATCTCGCTGAGTTTCCTCGTTGCAGAGATTATTCGTGAGAGAAATGTACTGACGTGTATCGAACTCTTTCTAGACTTCAACTAGACCCAAAGTACCTTCGCCGCCACCCTTTTTATACCCAAAAATTGGAGTAAAATGAGTGGTGGAGACGGACCATACGTGACTCCGAAGGACCGCGCTCTTGCTTCGCGTTGGTCTCGAATTTTCTAGAAGACTGTTTATGCCGGGTGTGCACATCCGACTCCATGTAAGGAAATTTGCGAGAAGGAGTCGTAACACCAAATAAGGAAATTTCCGAGACGGAAACGTAACAGTATTAGAATCTTGCAAGCTCAGAATTTTAAAATATTAAACTTTTGGAATGATGAATGCTTAGAACTTTAGAATGTTAGAATGTTGAATTGTTAGAATCTTGGAATTTCTTTTTCTTCTTTCTCGAATTTTAAAGTCTTGAAATTTTGTATGCTGGACACTCAGAATTTTAGAATTTGGAAATTTTGTACTCTAGAATATCTGCTATTCTGGAATTTTAGGATGTCAGAATTTTTAGACATAGAACCTTAGAATTCTAGAATTTTAGACTTTAAAGACTAATTTAGACTTTACACTAATTTTACTGTTTCTTTTCACTTTTGAAAAAATAAAAATAAATGCAATAATAAAGAATTGTAGAAGTAGAGAAGTTAACGAATTGTAGCGGCATAGTACGTATGGTAGTGGTCGAATGAAAGACATACAGTTGGGATCGGAACGTACGTTATGGCCTCGCAAAAATATAAAATTAACCTCATAATTATAAAGTGAGAAATATAATTTATTACTTGGATAATTTATTAGCTATCTGTCATTGTCAATGACAGCTGTATACCATGCGTTCACAAAAAAGAAGAACCCTGACCTGTCCCCTAGAACGGTACAGAGGCGAGAGAGGTACCTCGCACAAACTTCCGTGTAAATGAAAAAAGTCGACATAGATTCGTAGATGTGCCCTCTTTGATTAATAATACGCTACGGCCGAAAGTCCTTATCAGACCTATGTACAGTAGAACCTGGATAAATGCAACCAAGATTGGGACCCAGTGGTTGCATTTATCCAAGCGAGGTGTCGAATCTCGGGTTACACGCGACGACCAGCCAAGCGTGAACGTAGAAAGGGACAGACACTGGCGGAAAGAGAGAGGTCCGATGATGAAAGGAAAGAGCCGAAACGTATCGGTGTGACTAATACTAATTCAACTATAAAACTTTTTTATTTTTGACTTTTTTTTATTAAAACTTTCACTAACGCATTGGTGAAATTTTTCTGATTCAAATGGTACCAAACACGATATAGTTTCAATTATAATTACTTTCTAAAATTGATGTTAAAGGTTGGCGAAAAGCAACAGAGATCGAAATCAAAACCAGTCACGGTGTCGGCTCTGGTTTCAAAGGTTTCATTTATCCAGGCAAGGTGTCGATTCTGGGCATTTAATGTTGCATTTATCCAAGCGAGGTATCGATTCTGGGCATTTAATGTTGCATTTATCCAAGCGAGGTGTCGATTCTGCGTCCGTACACATGTTTTGTATTCAGCCGACATGCCGATTCTGTGTCCGTACACATGTTTTGTATTCAGCCGACATGCCGATTCTGTGTCCGTACACATGTTTTGTATTCAGCCGACATGCCGATTCTGTGTCCGTCCACATCTTTTGTATTCAGCCGACATCATTTATATTCAGTCGTGGTGTCAATTCTATATTGTTTATTCTATTACTATTGTTTATACATTGTGACCCTCTTCGGGGGTTCACTCTATACGGAATTTCCTTTCGCCGACTTTACTCTACGATTTTCTCTCTTTCTCACAACGTTGAGCGCCAGCCACTCGCTGTGGCGATTTGAATCAAAAAAAAGGGAAAAAGGGGGGTGATTGGGGGTGTCTTACAGGGGATGGGTCTCGGGGCACTTACGTCCGTACAATACTTCGCGGGGAGTACGCAAGGAGGATTAGTGTGGGAAGGGAAATCTCTAGGGTCGGGAGGGGTTCGCAGGAAAGTTCGTCTACGTTACGCGAATGAGGAAAACTTCGTGTTTGGAAAATAAAAGGGGGACTCGCCCCTATGTCGAACAATGCGCGGGCGGAGAAGGTAGCCGTTGCCTCGATCTCGCTAATACAATAATTACGATAAGGGACTCACCCAAAACTTCTCGCTCTCTCTCTTACTCTCTCTCTACCGCTTTCCAAAATCTCTCTATTGCTTCCCAAAAATCTCTCTATCACTCGCAACGCTAGCCTCGGGCTCAAGTGACGGTTCGCCGTCGCTGCTGCGACGACGAAACCGTTGCGGGATGGTTTTGGGGAGGGGATGGGACTAGGAAGGGGGCCTCTTCCGGCAACGGGATAGATCGATTATCGATCTTCGATACACCGGTGCTCGGGGTCGATGGGGCTGACGGATATCCCGCGATGACGGGTGGGCTGAGGTCTTCGGGCTCGGCGACAGATGGCTCCGGGTGGACGTTTTGCATCAGTTGGGCAGCTTCGTCTATTTCTTCGGAGTCCCATGTTGCTCCGTTTCCTTGGAGGAAGGGTAGAGGTCTGTCGCCGGCCTCGTAGCTCCTTCTGCGGGTATTCCTTGTACGTCTTCCGTCGCCTCCATCGGCCCGCCACCGGTGAGCAGGGGGAAAGGGTTAGATGAGGGAAGGGTTACGGGTGGTTTTGGGGTGGAAGTGTAAAATGGGAAAAGCGCAGCGATTGTAACGGGGGGGGCACGGGTGTCACCACGTTACAACATATAATTCAAACTATATTGTGTTTGGTGTCATTTTAATAAGAAAAATCTCACAAATGCATTAGTAAAAGTTTCATTAAGAAAAAGTTAAAAATAAAAAAGTTTTATCGTTCAATTAGTATTAGTCACACTGATATTACGGTCGGATCATATTACACGGTTTCCTCGTCGAGCGGCTCGGTTCGCCTAGGGGGATCCCCCCAAGTGGAGGGGGATAGCGATGTTGCATTTATCCAAGCATTCTTTCGTTGCATTTATCCAGGTTTTACTGTACATTCTTCCTAGAGCACTTCTTTCCGTGAGAGCACAGTATATTCTTATTTAGATAATGTGGAACTTCGGCACGTTTGAGGTAACCTGTGGCGGGGATTCCACATCATACCAATGAGTAGACTAGTGCCTTACATTTGGGTACTATTGTAATTTCCTATTTTTTACGAATTTATATTAATATACTTATTTAAGTAAACAAGTCTACCTTACAAACTTTGCGGAAGAATATCTATTAGACAGAGGAGCTAATCTACATTAGTAAAGTTCCGTATTAGGTTATTAATTTTTGAATAGAATTCAGCAGACATCATTTAATTTTTATTTATCAATGCAAATAAAAAGATGTTTTTAAATTGTATTATTTAAAATTTTATAAAATCATTTTATTAATACCGTACTGTAATCTTTGTTAAAATAATTTTCTTTTAATTTTTTTTACTTCCATGTTTTTAGTTTTTTAGTTTCATTAATGGAACAATTTTGGTTATCATTAAATTTGAATATTATAGCCTTTAATCAGTATATTTGATTATATGTAGAAAAATAAATTCAATGATTTTATATAAAACATCATTATACTTCTTTATATATTTATATTTTTCAGGAGCATTTGCTTATGCTGGAGCCCAATTCGGCACCGTAATTTCCTTTCCAATTTCCGGCGTATTAGCAGCTTCATCGCTTGCCTGGCCATCCATATTCTTTGTATTTGGTGGTATAGCCTTAATTTGGAGCATCTTTTTCTTTATTTTTGGTTCTGACAGTCCTGCTCAAGATTTACGAATATCAGAGGAGGAAAGAGAATACATAGAAAATAGTATAAGAAGTGACGAGGGAAAGAAAATGTTACAGGACACAGGGGTAAGAACAAATATTTTTTTATCGAAAGAATTATCATTACCATTAAAAAAAAATTATTTTATCACCATGAAATTTCATTGATATTTTAAAAAGCCAATTTATTTGATACGCACACGCGCGCGCGCGCATATATAGGGTGTTACGTTTAAGTGTGAATGGTCAAATATTTCGTAAACGGTTAAAGCTATCAAAAAAATGTTTCTACAACACTTGTTTGATTTAAGCGGGCACGTTATGTGGTGCAGATAATGTTTCGATAGGTGAAGTGATGGGGGAGATTTTGAAACTAAAACAATTTTTTAAATGGCACCCTATATTTTTCTACTTATAATATTGTAGTGGGTGTTGAGACAAATTCAACAACCTGCCACATCACATCATTCCATTAGTTAGAACCATACATTTTTACGATTGAAGTTACATCAGTGTGCACGGAGAACATTAGCTGCAGCGCGCCGTCCGTAATCTAAATAATTACCAAACTTTTCTATTTTTCACTTCTTCTTAATAAAACTTTTACTGTCGCATTTTTCTGATTAAAATTATACCAAACACAATATAGTTTGAATTATATTTACTTGCTAAAATGGGATGTTAAGGGCACAGACTCCTTCGAAGCCTGCTCCGAATCGATGTAAGCGCCATTGGAAAGAATCGGGCAATCGTGGAAAACATAATTAAGAAATTGGACATTTGACGGTGTAACATCAAACGTCATTATGCAGAATAAGAAACAAAAGTAAGGTGGCATGGTTGTCAAATCACAGCATTTGAGAGTTCTGTCGCGGTGTTACCGCATTCTGTGACAATACTGACCAAGCTTCCAAAATGAATCGGCTCAAGCCGAGATTTTGATTCCAGTCGGAGATAGAAAAAAGACAGCGCGAGAGAAAGAGAAGGAGTATCATGAATGAAACAACGTAAACTACATGGCATTAATAATTTCAAAGAAGGGAATAAGAAATAAAGACATGTAATGATTTATAATATTTATTTATATACAGGGTTTCCCAGAACTCATTTTTATCCAGTGAAGAGGTGGTAGCTGGGGTGATTCTGAACAACTTTTTCCTTTGCGAAAAAGTTGTTTGAAGCTTCGTTTTTGAAATATTAAGGAAAAACACTGACCAATCCGAGCGCGTATAGCGCGCGGGCTCAGGGACGGCAGCGTCGGCTACGAAAGCGGGGCTTGACGTAGGTCGCGAACGAACGGTTCGGCACCCCGTTGGCACAGCACAATAAAAAAATTGAACTGGTTGAACATTTTTAGTTGTTGTTCAAAATGATTACGGAATCTAATCTCTTGTCGCCTGTCATAATGTAAGAAAGGAAATTCTGAACATTCTAAACAACAAATAAAAATGTTTGAAATGGAATAATTATTAAAAATTTAAAAATAATTTAAATGAAACTTACTCATTCGTTCCTAAATTAACCTGCTATGCTAAAAGCAGATAATTCTCACTGGGTCACTGTGTCGACCCTAAACATTCGAGGAGGGAACAAATTTCGAAGAACAGCTGATCTCCAGACAAGATCATTGAACCCACTCAACCACACGGTCATTATCGCCTTCCACAGAATTTTCGTTCATGTAAATAAACATTTTTAAAAAACATGTAATATTCCGCACTACAGTAAAACCTGGATAAATGCAACGAAAGAATGCTTGGATAAGTGACAACATCGCTATTCCCTCCACTTGGGGGGATCCCGCTAAGCGAACCAAACCCCCTCGACGAAGAAACCATGTAATATTGATCCGACCGTAATATCGGTATGACTAATACTAATTGAACGATAAAACATTTTTATTTTTAACTTTTTCTTAATGAAACTTTCACTAACGCATTTGTGAGATTTTTCTGATTAAAATGACACCAAACACGATATAGTTTTGAATTATATTTATAAACAATAGTAATAGAATAAACAACATAGAATTGACACCACGACTGAATATAAATAATGTGTACGGAGGCAGAATCGACCATGTCGGCTGAATACAAAAGATGTGTACGGACTCAGAATCGATACCTCGCTTGGATAAATGCATCATTAAATGTCCAGAATCGACACCTCGCCTGGATAAATGAAACCTTTGAAACCAAAGCCGACACCCGCGACTGGTTTTGATTTCGATCTCTCTTGCTTTTCGCCAACTTTTAACATCAATTTTAGCAGTTCCGTTATGGTAACGGTCGTGAGCGGACCGTGGACCTTGCTAAGCGGAGCGATTATAAAGCGAGAAAGTTAGAAAAGTGGGGAAACAAAGTTTAAGGGTAGCAGAAAGTGTGAGTGGATAGGGGGAGGAAAGAGCGGGTGGTGTAGGGAGAAATCAAATTGGCGAAAACGGAAAGAAAAATCGACGCTAAGTGGACCCATTAATTGTGAGGTTAGAATCTAGAAGAGATAGAAAAGAGCGGCAAACAGGAAGAGGAGGCGTAAACGAGCGACACCTGGGGAGAAGAGAGAGAGGAGACCACAGGAACAGAGGGATGGTCGGTAAAGAAGAGGAAGGAGCAGAGAAGAGGATCGAATGCAAAGAATGGAAGACGAGACGAAGGAAAAGAAAGATATGGAAGGGAGGGAGGAAGCTGGGAAAGCGGACAAAGGGGGAAAAAAGAGGCAGGCCCTCGAATATAGAGGTTTTGAGAAGGGAAAGGACCCAGAGTATAGGAAGCATGTCAAACCTAGAGGAAATATGGAAAAGAAAAAGGGAGGAAGGAAATGAAGAAGGGACACCCAAAGAAAAAGATGAAGAGGAGAGGAGGCGAACAAGCGGATGGATGTTTAGAGAAAGCAGCGTGACGGAGAGATCACCCGAAAAGAAAAAAGAAAGAAAGGAAGGTGACGGAGGAGTAGGCGAAATAAAGAAGTTAATAAAAGATTTAGGAAAAGAACTGGGAGGGAAGATGGAAAGGGTTGAGGTGAACATGACAGCCCTAGCAAAAGAAGTAAGAGGAGAAATAGAGAAGCTAAAAAAAGACACGAAGAGAAAAGAGGACAAGTGGTCAGAACAAAAGAGAGAAATGGAAGGGAAGATAGAAATGTTGATAAAGAAGATTTAGACAGGAGAAGTTGAGCGAGTTAGAAAAGAAATGGGAGAGAAAAGAGAGAGGAGAGAAAGAAAAATATAATAATCAGAGGTACGAAAGCGAGAAGAGAGGAGATGAAAGAGAAGGCGGAGGAGATATTAAAGATAACAGGAGAGGAAGACGCAATAGAGGAAGTACAAGAGGTAGGCACGGTAGAAAGAGGAAAAGAAGTCAGCATGATGCTTCTAAAAATAAAATCGAGCGAGCTAAAAAGGAGAATAATGGAAAATAAAAAGGCGCTAAAAGATCGGGAAGAGAGAATAGAGGACGACCTAACGTGGGCGAAGAGGAAGACACAATGGACTCTAAGAAAAATCGAAAGAGAAGAAAGAAAGAAAGGAAAATACGTGTGGGTAGACCACGGGAAAATAAGAATAGAAGGAAAATGGTGGAAATGGGATGAAGAAAAGGGAGCTCTGATAGACTGGGAGGGGAGGGAGTGGAAGGCCTCCCAGGGAGGAGGACAAAGGAAGAGGGAAGAGGAGCAAGGGATATAGGGGAGGAAGAAAGCATGGAAAGAATATACAAGCAAAAGAAAAGAGGAAGGAAAGGAAAAGCGGAGGGGTGAGTGCAAGAAGAAAGTGGAAGGAGGTATGAGAGGAAGGGTACAGCAGACGAAAAGGAAGGCAGCAGGGCAGAAGAGAAGAGAAACAAAAAAGAGGAGGAAGGGGGAGGATGGACAGTAGGATTCTGGAATTGTGCTGGAGTATAAGAAATAAAGATGAAGACTTCTGGAAAACAATGAGGAAATGGGATGCTGTGGTCCTTATAGAGACATGGTTGGAGGAAAGGGGGTGGGAAAATATGAGAGGCAGGCTACCAAAAGGATTTAGGTGGGAGGCGCAATTAGCGAGTAGAAGGAACAATAAAATAATTTTTAACAAAAAATACAACCGACTTCGAAATGCACTAAAAAGTATGAAATAATTTCTACTTCATTTATACAAATACCCAACAGCTATTAATAAAACCTATTTACTCGTTAAATCGTATACTAAATACATTTCAACCTTTTCGGAAGCGGCGCAAAATTAAAAACTTTCTTCTACTATAAAGATCCTAGTTCGGGCGTCAGCAACCTATCAAATCATTATTGGCAGCATCGTATATTCGGATATTAATAATTTGGCGCCGCCTCCGAAAAGGGCGATTTTTTATTTTTTCGATTTTTTACCTCTTCTTTGGACGCTTATATTACTAAACATCAACATAATCCCACTGAAACATGAGTTGAGCGGTGTGCATTGGACCTTCCTCTTTCGAATAAGCCCTCATCCAGCCCTAAATGTTGTCATACAAGGACGAATAACGGAAGTGCATAAACCCATGTTTATGCCCATTTTTGCTGGTAATGTCAACGCGCTACTATTACCCGTGTCTACCCCCTTAAATGTGAAAGGTTTCATCGCGATCGGTACATGCTTTGCAGAGTATACATATGTATATAGAAACAGTAGAGAATCGGCGACTGGATGTTGACTCATACATCGGTAGAGACACGTAGGCATACGTAGAATTCAATGTAGTAGTAACAATAGTTTTTCACCAATATCTCGGAAACTAAAGCTTTCCGTTAATGAAGTATAAGGAAAAAGTTGTTCAGAATCATGCCCCCGACAACATATTAAAAGGTCATTGAAATCGTCCAATCTTGAGATTAAAAACTTCATGTATTTTGCAATAACAATGAAAAATTTTTTTTTAACGGGACCAATCGGAAGACACACCCTACAAGATGCAAAAGGTTTCGTTCCGATTGATCCATCCATCTCGGAGTAATCGGTGAACACACACAGAAAAAAAAAACAAAAAAAATACATACTGATCGATTTGAGTAACCTCCTCCTTTTCGAAGTCGGTTAAAAAAAGGGATAGCAATGGGGGGGATGTTAATGGGGGTAA